TTCCTTATGGGTACAAGAGGACATCATCACATAATTCCCAGCACTTAAAGCAGATAGCTACGACATACACAGCTTAGCTCATTCATTGCAGCAACATCACTGCAACCATCAATGGAGGCAAATCATGCACTCTGAGAACTCCCATCACACTCCTCTGGACTGCCTGAGCTTTATTGCTGATGCATAGCAACTTCCTACCCTAAAATACAAAGTTTTCTACTCCTTTCCTTGTTTTTGGGAATACCCTCCCTTGATTTTATCGAGGGATAAAAAACCAAGTTTTCTCCATAACAGCACTCTAATTTTTGATACTTTAATCTTTGAATACTAGATCTAAGTTGAGTATTGTGACTGCTCAGTCATGCATGATAACCCACTCACCTCTTGCTACCTACCCTCATCAACCTGACATTCACACAGACTCTGAAAGTAACAGGTGAGCCAGAAAACCTTCAGAGCACTCAATTTTTTTGCCCTACTGAAAGATAGATACCTCCTGGATGTAACCCCAGGGGGAAGGAAGGAAGCATGATGCCAGGAGGAAAGCAGAACTGCCCAGCAGGGAGGCTGGGCTTGGTCAGGCAGCAGATGGAAGCAGGTTGCACACAGATACACAACCAATGAACAATACAAGGTCTGCCATTTGATCCCAGTAATTTTCTTAGGATACAGTCAAATTTGCTTTTAAAAAAAGACATACGGAGAGCACAAGCGAAAATGAGAGCTGGGAAAAAACTCCAGAATTGCAGTAACACCCTTCCTGCAACAGCCAGAAAACCTGAGGGGAGTCAGAGAAGCATCACCACTGAGCAAACATCTTCATACTCGCGTGCAGTTTGGGTTTAGTTTTAAGTTTTTACTGGTTTAAACACATACCAGGTTTAGTTGAGCTGGCTGTGAAGTGTTCAATAAAAATCTCTACCAAAAAGGTGGAGAAAAAGAGGAAAATTTTAGACTCAAAAAGCACAGAAAATAGGTTGAAGAAAGAGGCAGAAAAAGAATGAAAGGAAAACCATGACACAAAAGAGAAAGGATAATACAAGGGAAGGAAAAACGAATTTAAACAGATACTGAGGACAGTCAGGAAAAGATAAACCATGAAAAAATGAAATGGATGCTGGAAGGGAAAGGTAAGAGAAAGAGGAATGTGTTATGGCAGAGCAGTTGAACAGCAGTTGGCAAACAGACCACCTGTTTAATCTTATCCATATTTGTCAAATAATTTATTTGATTAATACTCTTTTGTGGTCTTCAACCAGCTATAGATCTGATCAAATATAATGTCATAAATATATTATTAGAGTAATACAGGTAAAATTCAAACACATTCAACATTTTCATCTGCTGCTTAATAAGCTCTGCTTTTAAGTTTACACTTCAAAAATGTTGAAATAGTAAGCTGATAATAAATTACAATTAAACAAAGAGTGCTGAAGCACAATCATTTTGCTTTGTCTATACCAAGTACAGCATCATAACACATATCAAAAGACAAGAGACAAGATGTTTCTACCGCTTCCCTTCATAACCCTCCCACAAGGAACCCCTCTCTGCAGGCAGTACTTTTTTGCGTTGGGTTTTAATTTATTATTTCCCCCATATTCAACTTTTCCACTCCATAAAGGTTTTTTCCCCCCTAAGAAAACCTGGGGAGCTCCCAGGGCAGCCTAGCAGGAAGGTAAATCCAGGGTGTACCAGCAGCAGGAGGGGAGGCAGTAGATGCCATTTCCAGCCTGTAAACAAATGCTTACGCTTTTCGAGCTTAGCTTTGCTCATCTTAAAGGAAAGTTAGGTGAAAGATGGCCATGTGGACAAGGATGCCTCAGCACCTCTACCATCAAAGGGAAAAGCTTTCCGAAGTACCAGCAGCCTTTTCCTATGGGAAACTACGGGAGGGAAAAGGTCAATTGGCAGATCTTCAGCCTGTTTTTTTCCCCCCTCTCTGGCCCAATAAAGGAGCCCTCTTGAGTCCTCAGACCATAGGGTGAAAGCAACCAAGGTAGGCCATCTCCACACACCTGGCAGCAGGTCTGCCAGGGAGCCCCATGAAGCAGCGCCAGATCCGATGAGGAAACTGTGGCCATTACTTTCCAGGCTGATGTCAGAAAAAACTGAGGTTACTGCCACTGCTGATCCACCTTCACCACTGATGGCAGCCAAGAACCAAACTCACCACTGGAGAGAACCACACCAAGGGTAACACCTTTGGACCAGAAAAGTGTCCCTCAGGCCATAAGTCTGGTTTAAGTATTACAGTGATAACCCAAACTGAGATAATTATTGCTAATTACAAGATCATTTTTATGTAAACACAGAGGGTATCAGCATACATACTTCACCTCTTTTTAATTAAAAGAAGAGGCTCACTGAGACAAAAAAAAGGACATGCTGACAGCTGCCACTCCAAAGCAGACTTCTGCAGTGATAACACCCATCAGCTTCCAGACCGACCAAAGAGACTGAACAGAGAAATCAATCAGCATCAGCCTTCCCGGTGCTGAAATGAAGCAGTTGGCATGTTATTAATCGCACAGGGAAAACCTTTGATGAGCAGGAAAGGACTAGACACATGGATTCAAAGTCATGGCTGTGTTACAAACTTGGGAAGATCACACAAATCACCAAAATACTTTGGAGCTCTACAAGGATAAATACATAAACACAGTCCTGACCAGAAGAAACCAATATCCACCATACAGCTCTCTACCAACTCTTTAATCGAACCCACACAAAGCCTCTTGTGCTTTTCTCCGTTCAAAATCAGTTCCTGCTCCAACCCACACAACCTACCCATGCCAACCAGACTGGGGTACACTGCAGCAAAGCCTCACCAGGAGTTTGTACCCCTTCTGCATCTCAAAGACCTCCCCAGGAGCAACTTTGCACAGCACAGGCTAAAGAGACATGACTAAGGTAATTGAAATAGTCAATGGCTTCACTAGTGTCAAGGATTGACTTGGGTCAAGCCATTCCTGCTGTACCATCCTGTTTCCAGCTGTCCTAAGCACTTCTCCAGCCACTCCAGAGTTCACCAGTCCTCTCCAATTTCTCATCAGCTCTTTTGTCTCCAGGCATGCTTCACTGCTTGAGGCAATTAAAATGCATCCCCAACCACGACCCGTATGAGCCAAGTGAGCCATCGGATTCACCCACCCCAACCTGGGGTGAAGGTGTTGAACCCCTGGCCTCTGTGACACCCTTGCACAGGCAAGCAGCCTCTGCACACTGCAGAGCTCAGGCAGCAAGCATCCCTGGGAGGAAGGGAGGTGTCACCAGCTCCGCAGAGATGCACACATGCAGAAATTAGGGGACCTTGCTCACAGATGCATGTACCTGTGCTTCTTGGCACCTGCATGCCCCCTCCATGCCTCACCCCTGGCCTGCTGATGGCTGGCACTGACATGAAGCTGGTCTCCCCTGAGGGAGGTCTCCCCTGATGCTGCTCTGACTTGGGGGAGCCAGCACTTGCTTTGGCAAAGGTTGGGGGGTCTAATGCTCTCCTTTGGGAGCATCACAGGGCTGGCAAGAGGGATGCAAGAGAATGACGGAAGGCAGCTGCAGGGAGCTGCAAACTGGGAGTGCAAGGAAGAGGAGGGAGATGGGGCAGAGAGAGATGTAGCTTAGGGATGTGGGGGAGCAGGAGAGTAAGGGGGAGAAGGAAAGAGGGCCGAGCTTTGGGATCGGGGAGAGGGCAGGAAGAGTACAAAGGGGGTGCAGGAAGAGGAGGGCAGGGGATGGAGGGCAGAGAGGACGCAGGGCAAAGGGGACGTAGAGGCTGTGTCTCGGCGGCCGGCCCAGGGCTGGGGTCGGCGCGGACAGCGCCCAGGCAGCAGAGTCATGGCGCGGGCGGGCGAGCAGGTGGGTCTGCGTCACCGCCCCCAAACAACCGCGGGCCGCGCCGCCACCTCCCTGGGGAACGGCGGGGGCCATCCCCGGCACGGCGGGGGTTCAGGCTTCCCAGAGAGTGCAGCAGCCCCGGTAACAGGTGGCTGCGGCGCTGCCGGCCCGTCCCGGCCAAGCCGGTGGGTGCTGCCCCTCCGACGGCGCGTCCCACCCCCTTCCCCCAGCTCCAGCTCCAGCCCCGTTCCCAGCGGTCACTCACCGGCTCGTCCACCCCGCCAGGCGGGATGCGCGTCCTGTAGAGCGGGGCGCGGAAGTTTAAAGCACAGCAATAATATTGTTTATTTTTTTCTTCCAACGGAGGAAAATCAAACAAGACGAGGTGCTCCCCAGCCGGGCTCACCTCCTTACCCCCGCCCTCCTCCCGCCGATCCGCTCCTCTCCTCTCCTCCTCGCCCAGCCCAGCCCGGCCCGGCCCCGCCGGGGGCTTCAGCCGCGAGTCGGCCCGGCGGCGAGGTGAAGTTTCCACCGCGGTGGCGGAGGCTCCCCCGGTGTGCCGCGCCCGCCCCGCATTGGCACGGGGCGCCGGGGCGCTGTGCCGCCGCCGCCGCCGCGCCCGGACAATGTGCGTGCGTGGGGAGCGCAGCGGAGCGGGAGCGCGCCCCGCCGGCGGCCGCAGCACACACCCAGGACACACACCCCGCCTACCCGCCGCTCAACGGTCGCCCACCGCCCTTGATAGGCGGCCCCCGCCGCCACCGCCCTCCGGGTGGGCCGCGGAGCTGTCAATCAGGCGCCACAGCCCGCCCGCCGCGGCCTGGCCGCGGGGCGGTCCCTGAGGCGGCGGTGGGTGGCTGTGAAGGGGGAGGGCGGCGGGTCGCCGCCTCGCACGGGCGTGTGACCGCCGCTCCGGGCCCCTTCTCTTGGGAGCCGCGGCGTTCTCGTTGTGCGGCTTTGGGGCCGTGTCTGTGCTTCCCGCCCCGCCATGGCCTCTCTTCAGCTCCCCGCTCTCGGGGTGAGAGGAAGGCCTGGCGGCTGCTGCCCACCCAGGCCCCTCAGCCCGCCCTTTCCATGGCGGCAGGGGTGGTCTGCCCTTGGGGGTACCGACAGCTGCCGGGGCTTTCCCGGTAGCCAGCGGGCGGGCAGCAGAGGCTGCCCAGGCACGGCGCGTGGCCCGGGAGATCACCTCAACGGCCCGTTTGTCCTGGGGCCTGCGAGCCGCCGCTCGTCTGCCCCTGCCACCCGCGGAACAGGGCTGCTGCCGTCGAAAGCGCACGGCCCTCCAGCTACCGCGGCAGGCAGAGCATCCGCCCTGCCGTCGCCCTACAGGCAAGGCCCCGCGCCGCACGCTGGAGGTGCTGCCCTGAGGTGAGCTGCCGTTCTCGGCTCCCTCGGAGGCCTGGCATACAGCATGTTTTGGGGGAAGAATACGAGAGGCTGCTGAAACGCAGTGTTACCAGTCACAGGCCCTGATAACCTTTAGGGTAAACCCAGCTCACAGGATGCTTTCAGCTGGCCTCTGGAAAGGCCTAGGAAAACAGATGACTCCAGATTATCCAGGAGTGATTTAGGCCACAAAAAGAAAGACGCCTGAATTGTCTCTGTGTAAGACAGCTGGGGTCCAATTAAGCTTAGCAGCAGAGCTATGCATCTTGTGAACAGCATTGCTCCAATTACAGGCAAAGGTCCAAGTGTGGCAAGAGGGACTTGTCTGGTTGTATTTGGATCCCACAAGGAGCACCGCTAAGTCAGAGCTAGTAAACCTCGATGGGCTTAAGCTTCATTCCACTAATTCGGGTCTGTCATCAGGGTACTTTCAGTCCTGTCACAGTACGCTTATGTTACCCGATGTTTTCTACCATTAGGCTCCATGATTCCCCTGTTACTTTGAAAAGTGGACAGTGGATTGCGTAGTCACCTTGTTAGCCAGGAGTATGCAATGATCAAGCTTTGAATGCAGAATGGCGCCAAATAAAGTATGCATTTGTGGTACTGGAAAAGCACTGTTCACTCTGACATATGTTTCAAGCACACCACCACAATTTATTGTTTATGTTAGAAAAGCAGTAATCTGAAAATGGATCTAGAAACCATTGTTCTAGATACCACGCTTGACACATAATAAAAAGAAAGCTCATGCACTGCAGAGCTGGTAGCGAGTGTAGATTAGGCGAGTTCTAAAGAGAGAGCTGTGCAGGTTTTTTCAGGTCTTATAGACTTGTTGCACCAGCACAAACAAACCTGCCAGAGCACTTTCTGAAAGGCAGCATGCAAACAGGCAGGTCCAAACAAAAAGGCTGAAGCTTTAACCTACCTCAAAACCCTTGCGTGCTTCTAACAGTCCCTCCTGATTCTGAACAGCCTCTCAGTTCTCCACAGATGCAAGAACCACAGCTCACAGAAACACAGCATCTCTCCTGACCAAGCCAACAGCAGGAACATTAGCACGCACAAAGGTGATGGGTTTCTTCACAGGCAGACACACGTATGCACAGCGCACCACCTCTCTGTGCTACCTGTCTTGTCTTGTTTTAGCTGTTTCTGGCAGGCAGGCAGGGTACTGGAGCATGCAGAAATCCTGCCTTTTGAAGCACCTTGAAAGCGGGCTTATATTTTTCAGTACACAGGTGACCCTAAGAACTTATCAGGAAGCAAGAATGTATATGTAGTGTAATAGACACAGCTATGGGTGAACCTCAGTTTCATGCTTCTTGGGCTTCTCAGTGTCATACAAGAACCAAGAAACACAAGAAGATGCGGCTGAAACTGCCTCTTTCTTGCTCATTCTTCAGTGCCAGATCACATCAGGATATAACATACCTGAGGACTACTTGTTTGCAGACTGCTGGAAGACAGAGGCATAATCACGTATTGGTGAGTCATGACCACACAATCATATATAGGTGATGACACAGACTTACAAGGACAGAGAGAGTGATATAGCTCAAAGATGTCTTCTCCCCATTCTATTTTCAGATTAAAAAAACAAAATATAGAAGATACTCAGTTGTTGAAAAGCAGCATAGCTCCTTGCTTTTGACAAAGCTGTGCAGATTTGAATTTGCTGAGGTTATGGCCCATTCTATTTGTAAAAACAAAACAAAACTAAACAAACAAACAAAACCAAACAAACAAACAGACAAAACTATTCTGCCTGGATAGATTCTTCCTTTCTCTAAACTTGAATTTAATTCTAGGAAAATGTCTAGCCTGTCTAAGGCCTCTGGAAGATGGAACTCTCTCTTTTAAACATGGGACGTGCAGTGTCACAGCAACAGCGGTGCAAATGCCATCAGGAGAAGATGGCCCAATCTACTGACTAACTACTCTTCTATCTCATTCCATGGTGTCTCCAGCTGGACTGCCAACAAACTCCTTCAGCTACCATCAGGCATCAGTGCAGCTCCTATGATCTATGCCAAACCTCAAGGCAGGCAAACAGAAATACACAGAGCTCTAGAAATTCTGCAGTGCTACTAACTGTTGCAAGCCTTGCTTGACAGGAGAGGAAAGCTAGCCAAATACTGGGCCCACTGGCATGCAGAGCATTACAAAGGACATGGAGAAAATCTCAGAAGATCCTTACTGCCGCAGTAATACTGCCAAAATATAATCTGCATCTGGTTTGAAAAGCTGTCCTGTCATTTCCATGCCTTGAGTTTTTCCTGATAGTCTTCTCCAAATTGACCAAACTGTATGTAGCCTGCAGGTGGGAGGCCGTAACTCATGGACATGCTTTTACCATTGTGATTTTTTGTAACAACACTCTAAATTCACTCTAGGAAGGTATGTCACTGATTTTTGTAGGTGCTGTGACCCAAAAAATAACTCCATGTTGGTGTTCCCACTTTAACCTCTGCAAGAGGGAAGTCATAGACAAAGCATGGGCTTAGCTCTCCAGTGTGTGACATACAAACTTATGCCAAGAGCTTAGTTAGCACCAGAACTTGATAATCGACTACAGATAAAGGCTATCCCTACTGTTTTTGAAGTATTAATCTTTTTTAGTGTTATTTCTAATAGAAACACCCAGGCAATGGCCAAGTTGCACTGTTCTTTCTTCCACCTTAAAAAAAAAACACAAAAACAAACAAACAAACAAAACAAAACAAAACCCCAAACCAAACCAAATTAAAAAAAAACCCAAAAAACACAAAACACAAAAAGTAACAAACAAACCAAAACAAGCACTCAGCCAGTCCATTTTCCTGGATGCATACTTCTTCTGCTTAGCTGAAACTTTCTGGAGGTGTTTGGAAGGAAGGCTGTATCATTGTGTTCTCTTTAACATTGTCTCTGAGAGAGGTCACATGAGGTTTTTTCTCCACAGCACCATGTTCTTCATGATTCTTTAATTTATTCCTCCTGCAAATACACCAGACTCAAGAAACCTGCAAGTATTTCTCCCATACTGAGGTGTTTCTCTTGCTCATCCCTCCCTGAGCTTACAGGATGCATAGTGTCATGGCAGAAAGCAAGCAGACTTCTTAAATGTTGGGTTTTCTAGAGAATGCAAATTGTTTCCTTTTAGTATTTGACAATGTAACACAAGTAACTTGCCATGGCAACCAGCTTATGAAACAGACAAAAAATTATCATCACAAGGTACTTTGTTGCTATAGCAAGCAAAGAAGCTGAGACCTTATCATTTTTGTTCACTGGTCGGCCATGCATCATCTAAGTTGCAGAACCTGTCAGCAAAAGTTTATGTTAGATTCAGTACAAGTCAGCTGCCTCGTGGGCCTATCTGATACTTGGATCAAAACTGAAGTATAGTCAGAAGGAAACAAGGAAGTGTTCAGAAGAATTGAAACAAAGCTGGATTCTCAGAAGTATAAGGCCAAATCCATTTCCACACCAAGCTGATGCAACTTTGAAGATGCCAGTAAGGGATGAAAGAATTTCTTCAGAAATCAAATTGGCTTCCATCCTCTGATAGTCTCTGTTCTCCTCCCTTGCTTCTTTTTTTTTTCTTTTTTTTTTTTTTTTTTAGTGGAATAGCTGCATATATGGGAGTATTCTGAAATTACCTGGAACAGAAGGTTGAATAGGCTTGCAGTCTTCAAATGCATTCTCTTTATAGGGATGCTTCTGAGAAGGCAGGCTTACTGCTATGCAGGTTACTTCTGTTAGTGAGTGAATTTAAAAATGGCAAAGGGAATTGGCTACGGGCAGAAAGGGGAAACCCTTATAATTATCACTATGGGAAGAAATAAAAACTGAGCTTTGTTAGCTCAGAAAAGGACAATTTTGAAAACTGTTACATGTGCAAGTAGCCACAGAAGCCAGTGGAAATACCCTGTGCTTAAGACAGTCTTATTTGTAAAGCTGGAGTGGGTCTAGGTTATACACAAAATGTTTGCTTTACTCCCAAGCTGGAAAGGGTGCCTTATGTGGGACAGTCTTGAAAAACTGGAATTTTCTTAGTCTCTAGACTACTGAGGTGAGCTACAAGAAACACATCTCCAACTGTGTGATGGAATGAGGTGTATGCTCAACCTTTTTATTTTAGAAACACTCCCAGTTTTCATTGTTGATACAGTAGTGTCAAGTTGAGAAACAGTGGCCAGCTGTCTGGGGGCTTAGCTAAATTTACAGGTAAAATTATTGTCTCATGGACAATCCGCTTAAGCCTCCTGGTGAGGCTGCAGAGGAAATACTGCTGGATCACAAACCCCAACAACAGCATGATTTGGAAAGCAGCCTTTGAGAGAAGCTCTTAATGTATCGGGTAAACCTAGGTGGAGATTCAAGGCTGGAATGTACTCCTGACAATGAAGTGTTATACTGCGAGTGACTGACTATAAAAAGACTATGGGGGAAAACTGAGTCTTCTGCAGCACAAAGAAATTATGAGATAAACTAAAGTAATCTCAAAGAAACTATGATAAAACTATCCAACACTATAATTTAACACAGTCTCCTAGAGACTGGGAAAAGTCTGTGGGCTAATCCTTACTTCCAGTCGCACCAAGAGAGACATAGCCACAAGAGACATTGCAGCTGTGAAATTCTGTAGGCATGTACCGTTATCCCAAGGGCCTGGAACTCTCAGAGATACTTAAGATTCGGCAGCTGAAGTCCAGCTGAGAGACCACACAAAGGAAAAGAGAAGACCCATCATTCCCAGTTTCAAAAGGCTTTTTAAGATGGACACTAACTGGAGAGATCTCGTGCAGTAATCAGCTAACAAAACAAGCCCCTGAATTAATTAATCAACACTCAATCAGTAAGGGGGAAAAAAAAAAATCTTCCTCTGTGTTATCTCTAAAACATCACTTTGTTTCAGATGACCCAACCAGGGAGTGGGACCACTTTGTTTTTAGTCCGCAAAATAACAGCATTCAGATTGGATTAAATTCTACTAAATAGAATTTAAATAGAATGCTCAGGCTTCTTTAAACACATTGCACATTAGACACATTGCAGAAGATTCTGAGTGGGCAGAGCAAACTCATCAGGCTTGGAGGGTTGTCTGATGGAGAACAGAATCTTTCTCATCATGGATTTCTTCCTCAAAATAAGCAGGGAAACGAGGCAGTGCCTTGCCAGGTACCTGGCCCATGCTCTACCAGAGCTAGAGAAAGCAAAGATTCCCGCTGACTGAAATGAATTCTGCTACCAGTTGGATTTGATCAATTATGCAGTGGAAATAGAAGCTTGTGGAGATGAGATGCTCTGCAATCTAAGAAGGGAAAGACTTTGTAATCAGAGCTTGGAAGTGGAAGAAGGCCTGCGCTCCACAATTTAAAATACAGACAACTGCTGAGTCCTTTTTTCTACTAAAAAAAACCAACCCAAACACACACACAAAAATGATGTAATTCAAAGACTGGTCATTTCCACTGAGTCATCCTCCTTGTAGAGACAGGATAGGAATGAACAACAATCGCATCTCTCTATACTAATGATATGCATACTAAGTAATGTGAAGGCCTCACCTGAGTGGATGGTGGAATGTTTGGACTTCAGATTTTGCTGGGTGGTGGGAGACATAAGATACAGGTTACAACTCTGAGACAGTATTTATGAGCAGTGTTGCTTTCTACAATTGCCTGCTAGTTTCAGTGTGTGATATGAAGCATACTGCCCTCTACAGAAAGTGTCCCGTTTATTCCTATGGGTGTTTGCTTAAGTCCCCAATGCATGTTCTTTCCTCCTTTTTCCCAGGAGTTATGGCTGATCAGGTGGTGACTCTAGAGCCTGAGTTGCTTAGAAATGACACTGATTCTTTCATTAAATGCCCCCACCTGACCAAGAGTGACTACGGTTGATAAGGTGCTGTGTCTTCTTCCACTCTCTGCTGAGCATGCCAATGTAGGTCAGCAAGGGTCAGATAGGGTGGGAGGTCTAGCAATGCAGAAATCTGCAAGTTGGGAGCCACATTGATTTTCCTGGCAGAGTTTTGCTGGCATATGTACAGGAGCTTTTGTTACCTGTCAGCTTGAATTGAATGTCAGTCATTCCCTTGGAGCCTGATCCTCACATCACTTCACTCTCAGAGGTTTATGCCTTTGTCTTCATACAGCGGTAACTCAGGTCTTTAGAAGCTGAAAGCCTTATTCTTTCTTAACAATCCTTTGTGATATTTAGGTCCTGTGTGATTTTCATTTTCAAACTCTACAGAAAAGTTTGAACACTTCAGCTTGTGTGCTACCAGTTTCTTAATGGTACAGTTTGGATCACTTACTGTACTCTGGGTTATCTGTCACTTTTGCTGGCAGGAGCCAGTATTCTTGGAGTGGAAACCAGATGAGTTGCTAAGGGATGTCTTGCACTCTGTGTCATTTTTGCAGTCACTGATGTGTAACAGATTTATCTGTGTAGTTCAAGGCCCTTCTGTACCAGATAAGCTTGTACTGAAATCTCAGACCATCCCGTGTGCTCTCCTGGAGGAGACACTAAGGTTATTGCTATTCTTTTTAAAAGAATCTTCTTACTTCTTCATCAGCTAATGCAGATTTTCTTCTCAACATCAAAGAACAATTGCCAACTACATCTGTTTCTCGCAGAAATTTCAAAGCAGTGTTGCGCAGCATGATTCAGGCATGCACACATGGTAGAACTAGATAGAATTAAAGACATTTGTGTTTATCCAGTTAAAGTACTGGTTTCTTTTCCTTTGATTGCTCTTTAATGTACTGGCTGCACATTGTCTCTATCCCTGCCACGCAGCCCTCCTTCTCATCCTCACACTCAAACTACTGAGCCTTCTCTTCTGTCAAGTTCTTCACTAAATTCCGGTTTTCCTTCTTCTGTAAGGAGCTGCCCTGAACCTCAGTTCCCATCTTTACAAGCAAGTAAAGCTGATGCAAAGCAGTACTCACATAAAATGTAGCTACTCTGTAGACTAAAAGATCTTTAATAAAGAACTTCCCATGCTGAAGCCATAAAGTAGACCCCCAGTGTAATTTTTAGTCTGCAATTTGTCATTCTCTTTCTTCTGCTGCCTCTCTATCAGGGAAGGTGAAAGACAGATGAGGACCTGCAGCTACTTGCATCTTGCAGGACTAGTGTGTGTTTCTAGGTAACTTTTCAGGCATGTGTTCATGAGCTCAACAGTGATATAAGTGTGTGTGGACACACAAATCAGTCAGATACTGTCTGATGGCTTTCAGGGGGCCAACGCTAAACATTTCTGAAGTCAGATTCCTAAAGATTCCTAAACTAAGAAGATTCCTAAACTAGGATGCCCAAATCAGCATGTTGCAAATTTCTTCTCTGGCCTCAGACTTTTGATTTTGTCTTTTTGCTTCCAGTCAGGAAACTTCAGTTAGGGAAATACTGAGACTAACATATCAAAACACTGATCAGAAATGTTACATGAATCCAAATGATTGATGGAATTTCAGCCATTGATTATGAAAACATGAGTAAGCTAATAGTAATCTACAGAGGTATTAGCAGTGAATGATTTCCCAGTCCTCATTAGCAATATGCTTTGATGAGGGTAGAAAATGTTAGCTGTAGTTTCCCTTCAGTAAGCTCTTTAATCATAAGAGCTTACTGGCAGTGGGATTTGGGAGACTTACATGATCACAAAGTGAATTAAAACAATACCTTCTCTCCAGCTTCTCTGGGATAGCACACAGGAGAGAATGGTCTCAGAGCTGCTCAGAGCTGGCACTGGCATTCTCCAGTGAGGACTAGGCAGAAAGCTGCTTCCTCTTTAGTCAAGATCTTCCTCATTTTCAGGAGCACACTTATACCAGCTCTCCTGCAATGATCACCACATGCCAGTGAACTTGTTATAGCATGTTCAGGAGCACCTTCTCGCTGGTTTCCTGAGGTCTCATCCAAACCTTACTGCAGATACAGGGAAGATTCATGGACTTCTTCAGCGGCCTTTGGACTGCTCTGTGGAGGCAAAAATACAACAGCAATAGAGACACGGGTGAGAGGACTTTACATTACCACCATACTTCACTCTGAAAAGATGGCAAAAGAGATTCTGCAGCCCAACCCTGTGCTTCCCAGAGGAGTAAAATCAACATGAATCCTACTTAGTAAGTAATTCAAAATTACATTCTGGTTTGTGAATCATCTGCATCTCAGCCTTTCTGAAGATCTTGGGTAATGTCTTAGGTAATGAGATGAGAACAGTGCAGCTTCTGAGGTCATCTCTACCTGCTCACAGGGCTGCCAGCCTCCTGTGGCCCTAATTTCCAGCTGCTCTTTTAAAATGCACTCTGCCACTGAGCAGTTTGCCTCTAGAGATCTCAGACATGAAGTAATCCTCCTAGCTTTTCCAGAAAAAAGCTGACTAACATTAAACCTGTTTTACAGGTAGGTAGGCTGAGCTCTAGTCTGCTTGAGATCACAAAGGGTTATTTAGGGGCTGACACATTCCTGCAGCAGGGATGACCTCCTGGAAGGAATATTAACCTCTTTCGTTAAAGGAAAAGAGTGCCCAGGCAGAGGAGAGGGCTGGCCACACAGACTCTGTTTACATGCATGTTTTGCACATGACTACAAAGCAAATAAACTTCACTGGCTATGTGGCTTTGAATCCAGGTGTCCCTCAGACGAAGACAAGTGTAGGGTGAGCCCAAACACGATGCTTGGCCCTTTGGCTGAGCCATCTGGCAGGTAGGAATATAAAACTTGCTGATTGCTTTATGCCTGAGTCACCTCCTTTAGCATTTGTTATTGCCTAGCACGTTAGCATGTTGCCTGCTGGATAATAAATGACTTCATTCGCTGCAGCAGTGAGGACACTATTAAAAATTAACCCTGGCAAATGGTCCTGCATATTTCCTTTTTTTCAGTAAGAGCCAGACAAGGGGGAAGAGAGGAATGCTGTTGAAATCTGATTAGCAGAAAAGGCAAGTGGCGAGTTTAAGTAATGGGGATGGTTCAGGCTTCAGTTTAATCACTGCAGTTGTTGGCAATCAATGATCAAAATTCAGAGGGCTTACGGCACTTGGTAAAGTTAAAAGCAATGCAAGTAAAGAAGATTCAAAAGGCCTATTGCAGGGAAGGTCAAAGAATAGGATATACGGGGATTATTATTCTGACATGTAATGTATGACCAGTTCGCAGAAAAAAAATGAATTTATCACATGAACGTTATTACCACATGTAAGGAATTTGGTCCACAGCTGAAAAACTCTTCAGTTTTGGTTCATGTATTGAACTCTTTTCTCACAGTATCACACTTGCAACCATACCATATCTATAGCAGCATGAAGAGTATATTTACAGAAGTGAAGGGTTTGCATTAAATATCTGAAGGAATAAATCAGCTGACAGAGAGATCCTTCATTTTCTTGGCTTCTCTTGCCTCCAGCACCCACGCAGTATCCATTAAATTGTCTCAAGTCAAACCCTCACAGGCTGCATTTGAAACTTGGGCAAGGAGCCAGGCAGGCTTAGACAGCAGAGACTTTTCTGTCCTCACACACTTCCCACCATCTGTATGCTGCAGTCCAGAGCAGGGGAGCTCAGCTTTAGGCTCAACAAAAAATCTCTCTTACTCCCTTTGCATCACTCCAAGAGAGGGATTTGATCTGAAGCCTGCTGACAGCCACATTAATGATCCTGTTGTTGACACAAAAATTTCACCTTGTTCTGAGACATCATTCAGCTGGCTTTGGCACAGCAGTGAGCAGCACGCCCTATCCTGAGCCCACAGTTCCTCAGGTTTGTCCCAGACCCTTGAGTAGCTCCATCCGTAGATGTCTGATACCTGTAGATAATCTAGATGGTAACATAAGCTGTGATGCCAGGTGCAGTGATGGTGCAAGCAGATCTATCCTCTGGCTGGCATGCTTTTCTCCAGAAGCATATCATAGCTGAACTGAGGTATGATGGCGTTTGTCAGAGGGCCATGCTGAGGTCTGCACACTAGTACTGAATCAGCTGCACATCTCCATGTGGCAGAGGTATTTTAAAATGTTGGGCTTAAGCAGACATTATGCTGCAGCAGGGAAGATCATATAAAGTTCCTGCATAAACAGTGTACAAATTTGCTGGCTGAAAGGTACTCTGGTGTTGCTGTGTCCAAGTTGGAGATGTTTCTTACTCTAAAGATCTTTCCTTCTCTTTGGCATTTCAGGGACTGTGATTGAAATATTCCTCAGTTTAATTCCTGTGTTTCATTTATTTTCTCTCCTTTATCTCTCTATCCAGACAGAGCTTTGTCATTAACCCTAGTCCCTGGCTATCTTTATCAGATACCCAAGCCCCGAAGCACAAAATCCCTCCTGCTCCCTGGTCCTGCCCATCGCATCAAAGGGAAGTGCACCTCCAGAACAAGCAGCCCTGTTTCCCTTGCATGTGGGACTTGGCCATGCACCAGGCCACACACAGGAAGTCTTCCAAACTTACCAGCAGGTTAGGCTGATCCCAGGGAGCTTTGTTTCTCAGCATCTAACATATTTGCCTAATGTCTTGGTTAAAAAAAAGGGCATATCAGAAAGCTGTGCTTGCAAATGTTAGGGTACTCCCTGAGCATTTCCTAGATAGCTGCTCTATAAATGATGAGGAAGCAATTCAAGCATGTGACCACAAACAAGAAGGCATGTGGTGTGGTACGGGAACTGCCCTTGCTGGGATGTTCACTCTGTGACAAATGGGGCTTCACTCTATGTTTTAAGATCCTGTACTCATTGCATGCAGCAGGCAACAGTTTTACTGAACTCTTGCTGCAGCCAAGCATGCTGCTGGAATAGGGATTCTATTTTAATGATCTGGGAGTTATCACAACTGTTGTGAGTCAACACAACAACATTTTATAAATATGGTCTTTCTGGAGGTGGTAGTTTTGGAAAGCCCAATATCTTCAAGTTTGTTTGGCACTTCTTTGTAGGTTAGATGGTGGATGTGATCTGAAATCACTTCCTTTAACTCTAGTAGGTTTGGGATCACACTCAAACCGTGTGGCTATCTATGTATATATTTATTTCCCCTAAGTCTTTATCTTTCACTTGCCAGGTTGCCAAGGGCTAGGTGTGTTGTGAAGCAAGTATCTTGAAGGAGAAAGAAGTGTCGTATGCAAACATCTGTAGGCATACATCCAGCTGCTCAATTCACTAGAAAAGAAAGTAGTAAACTGCACCTGGAAAATCTGCCTTCCACAAACCAAGAGCTAGCTGGTAAATACTGCATACGTAGTTGAATGCTGCACACTTGTGTTTCCACTGGCTTTTAAGGAGAATGAGAAGGAAATGTGTTTTTAACACTAATTTAACTTGTACCCTGATCTACTACTGCAGAGAGTAATAACTGGTAACTTAGAAATTAGCCATCTGCAAGTGTTTGGTCCACAAGATTACTGCCAATGGTCTATTAATGAATGTCCCTGGGTTAGCACATCTGCAACATGGCAAAGGGAGTAACCAGTGTAGGACAGGACAGAGGATGCTTGTGTGCACTCCAAGGAAGACAGGTTCTGGCAGTGGTAATGTGTTGGGAGTTGTTGCAAGAGAAATAGATTTTACCACACTGCTTGGTAGGATTTTAGACATATCTGTCTACATTGGACTTCACTAAAAAACAGCAAGACCCAAACACTGCACAGAGTTATGCTAGTGTAGTGCTAATGCAATGCATGGACTTCTGCTTGTCTCATTACAGCAATACTTTTGAGTGCATCAAGTGCATCAAGTGTCTGTATCTCATCATACTAGAAAAGGCCAAATCTCGCATTAGCTTTGCCCCTCTATGTTTTCCAAAAATTCAGATCCAGATTGAAACACAGATTGTCAAAGGTCCATCTCCACTGCTAACAGTGGTGGGCAAGTCTGGAACTGCAAGGTCTTTGCTCAGACTACAGGAAGTGAATGGAGAAGAGCCACAGTACTACAGAAGCACCATGACTCCTCCAAGTAACAGTAGTTTGTGGTCATCATTCTGTATTTCTGTCTTCTGCTGAAGGGATTTGCTCAGTCAAATGCAGACCACTCAGATCAGGCACTAGGAGTTTCTATTAAAACACTATAAATGTTTACCTCAGGGTCTCTTCTAAGATGTTTCAAGGAAAGAGGATACTTGGATGGAGTGTTTAGCCAGAAGTGCAGGCATGCAGTGATAAACTGCAGGTTTTCATGGCCAAAGAGCTGTCCTCCTAGCATGGCTGAGTCCCATGTAGTGTCATGGAACTGCTGGAACAAGTCCAGAGAAGGGCCACGAGGATGATCAGGGGACTGGAGCACCTCCTGTATGAAGACAGGCTGAGAAAGTTGGGGCTGTTCAGCCTCAGCTGCGTGGAGACCTCATAGCAGCCTTCCAGTATCTGAAGGGGGCCTATAGGGGTGCTGGAGAGGGACTCTTCGTTAGAGACTGTAGTGATAGGACAAGGGGTAACGGGTTAAAACTTAAACAGGGGAAGTTTAGGTTGGATATAAGGAGGAAATTCTTTACTGTGAGGGTGGTGAGGCACTGAAATAGGTTGCCCAGGGAGGTTGTGAATGCTCCATCCCTGGCAGTGTTCAAGACCAGGTTGGACAAGGCCTTGGGTGATATGATTTAGCGTAAGGTGTCCCTGCCCACAGCAGGGGGGTTGGAACTAGATGATCCTAAGGTCCTTTCCAACCCTAACTATTCTATGATTCTATGATTCTATGCTGTGTTCACTGCCATGTGCTGTCACCAGCCAGTGGGGCTCCTGACAGATCCAGCCTTGAAAACAAATTGTCAAGCAAGGTGTTTGAGGTAGGTGTAAGATTTGTGTGGACAACCGTGTGTTTTATTGTTTTCAATACTCTGAAACACTTCTCAAGCATCTGCCTTGGTCTCACTCAGCATGCTGAGCTAGGTAAATGAGCTGAATTTTACTGAAAATGCAAGACAGTGTATAAAAAGTACAGAAGCATACCAATAATCCATCTTCTCTCATCAGTAATCTAACTTAGCTGCTGAAACAGCAAAGTACATAGTCCTTTTTCTAAGCGCACATTATGCAAAATCAGAGCCAGAGTTGTAACAAGAGTATTTGGAAATCAGGTCTCTCTTGTCATTTTGAGGTCAGGGAAATATCCTTTCCTGTCTATGAGGAGAGGATTCCTTCTAGTAGTCTACAGGAAGTTACACACAACAATGACCCAAATGCAGATGAATTACAAGGCTTTCAAAGAGGCTACCCATGGAAAAGGCAATTTGTGCCTCTTGAATTCTAGGGAAAATCCCAGTACAGGATAGTGGTTTGTTGCATCACTTTTCATTCCTGGGTAATATCTACTGGACTAGAATCCAGGCTACACACAGCAGAAGCAGATGTGTAGGGTCAAGGGTTTCCTTTCACATAGCAGATATGACCATTTTTGTCTTTGCTCAGTTCATTCACTGATGCTGAGCCAGAAGCAGGTACAAATCACCTAGTAGGCCATGAAGCTGAAACACTACCAGGAGCACTGGGGATGGGCAAGGCACTTCAGGCAAAAGAAGCACTTTGATTCTTACCATGTTAGGACAGAGAGCCATGTCTTATAAGCTATAGATGCTGGCCCTAGGATTACATAGGTGTGTATGGGGGTGCACAGAGTATGCAGTGCTTGTTCCAGTCTGCAGAACTTCCTGACCCCTCATCTACATGCTGATACCCTCCCTTCACTACTGCAGACTGTGCCTCAGACACTTTATTTTCTCCCCTATATGACAGGGATTTATGAAGGACTTTGCCAGAGCTGTTGTCTATAGCATGGCTTGCAGTGGTGCTATTGCTGTGGTGGCTGAAAGCCTTGGCGTACATGAGTTGCATTCAGAGTAAGCTTTGAACTTACATGTGCAAAGTGCAAGCAAAGTATTGTGTAAGGCATGCAAACTAGTGCTTTGTCCTGATTATTTTTTTTTTTAAAGTCCTGATTTCTCCACTGTTTCATACATGGATGGGAAGTGAATGTAAATCGACACCTTTCTGACGTGGCAGCTGTCGTGGTTTAAGCCCAGCCAGTAACTCAGAACCATGCAGCCGCTCGTTAATGCCTCCCTTCTCCTTCCCCCCACTCCCGGAGAGATGGGGAGGAGAATTGAAATTATCCATGGGTTGAGGTAAGAACAGTCTGGTAACTAAGGTATAACACGAAACTATTACTGCTACCACCAATAATAATAATGATAAGGGAAATAACAAGGGAAGAGAATACAACCGCTCACCACCTGCTGACCGATGCCCCGCCCGCCCGAGCAGTGATCTAGCCCTTCCAGGTAACTGCCCCCAGTTTTACATCCTGGGCATGATGTGCTATGGTATGGAATACCTCTTTGGCTAGTTTGGGTCAGGTGTCCTGTCTTTGCTTCCTAACCCTAACCCTAACCCTTCCCCTCCTCCCTGGCAGAGCATGAGACTCACAAAGTCCTTGGTCAGAGTAAGCATTACTGAGCAACAACTAAAAACATCAGTGTTATCGGCATTGTTCCCAGGCTGAAAGTCAAAAATACGGCACTGCACCAACTACTAACAAGGAGAAAAATGACTGCTACTGCTGAACCCAGGACAGTAGCATTTTGTGATGGCTTTGCTTTGGCATAAAAAGCAAGTGCACATTGTAAGGCTGCTGGTTCCCCTGCCTGAAGACAGCTAGGTGAATTGCACAACTAATGCTTGCTTGGCAAAACAGACCTAAAAGTACAGGGAAGCCACAGGTTTCTTTACACTGCAAAGGACAAGTGATGCTCCTGAAAAACAGTGGTGAATTGGTCATTGACCTTAACTCCTTTCCAACATCAATTAATTTTTCTCTTAGTTTGATATTGAAAACAAAGTTGTAACTCAATCATTGACTGTGGAATTCAACCCAGAAGAAATACAAGCACCACCAACAATGTGGGCCAGGTGTGAATTATAAAGAGCATCAGCAAGAAGCCTTCTGTATCCCAAGGGCATTAATACTGCAGCCAGTGCTATTCCTTTTGTATTTTTCTTTTAAGCCTGCCATTTTTAAACCCTCTCAGCAAGACCATTTCTTGCTGAGGATTTCTACCACAGCAAGCACTAATGCTAAAATGAAGATTGCCCTAAAACTGAGTGAAATCTCTGTAGTGGTACTACAGTTGTAACGATGCTGAGTTTTGTACCTACTAGTTCTTTAATAAAAATGACCATCTGACAGCTGTAGGGCAGCTTTAGACTTGTCCCATACACTGGGACAGGGTGCCATACCTTGGAAGAGCAGATGCGCACAGTTATCACCCCTTATCTTTCCAAAACCAGGAAGCAGTTTGAAAAGAAACTGAAAAAGGTAGATGGCCTTGAAGAGAGACACAAAACAATCATCTTTATTTATATACACAGACATTTCAAGTCACAATTGATTCATCTTTGTGTCAGGAATGATACAAACAAGGGACTGCAAGCATGCTTTTCTGGTTCTCAGTATTTATTTTTTTTTTCATATAAGAAAGGTTTTGTTTCCATTTTTTCCCTGTAAAAATGGAAAGGGAGAGAAATCCTACATTTTAAAATTAATTTATTTATCTATTTATGTACAACTCTTCATTAAAATTAAAGCAGAATTAGATGATAAACCCCTCTGGAGTTAGGAAATCCTGTCTCGATGGCTCAGATATTAATACAGTACACTCTCTCATGGTCATATCTTTCATCCTGATCAGTTATCTGTACTGCACTGTTATGGAGCCACTTCTGGGTAGAATCCCTTTGTTGTGAACCTACCTTTTTAAAGCAATAGTACAAAGGAAAGAAAGAACCCTCTGGTGTGCCATCTACACTGGGTATTTCTTGAAAGTAAGTGGGATTCCACCAGAGTTCTTTCCTCCCAGTAGAGCTGAATCACGGCTTAAGCTAATGAGATATCCCAACACAACTGAAGCCTGCCTTAAGCTTACCTTTCTTTAAAAGACCCTTTACCATGGGAAGGTGCCATTTGCTGTTTTTATTGCCTTCTAGTACCTCCACAATGTACCCCAAAACTCCACCAAGACAAGGAGGGGGTTTGTTTAATTTTAAGTGAGCATACAGCAGTGAGAGAAGACAGGCTCTGTCACTTGGAAACTAGCTCAGGACTGCCGTCAGACACCACACATAATTTCTGTATGACTTTGGTAACTTCAGGAGTTTGGTTTACTTGTTCACAGAAGTAAGGACAAAGAAAAAGGATGGCCCTTATTTCAGTGTGGGTTAAAATGCTCTATAAAAACTGTTAGCAGAAGCTTTTCTAGGTCTAGTTCAGCTTGAAAAGATACAGTTTTGTACAAAATGCTGTATGTTACCTGATAAAGATGTCCTTTTAGATTGCAGCTTATGAATTCACATAAGCCAGTGAAAACCAAATGCTTGGTTTCAGTGACTCAGAAAAGACACTTCTTGTTAACTGGATCTTCTCATTGCCCTTTCTTCTCATGCCAGGTGCAGTGACAGCAAAATAAATTTAATTCACAGACTCCTGTCAACCTCTGGATCTTTGGATCAGTTCTTACTCCCTCCTGGCCTCATTCATTGCTTCTGAGGATGAAGCCCTACACACCTGCCATGGTTGAAACTGTTCTTATATCATCTTCCCAATGCAGAGACTTCAAGCATATGAAATCTTGAGGTTAATGCCGTAGTCAAGGCTTCAACCAAAGCTGTTGCTGCAGACCTGAGCTGATTTTTTTGAGAATGCCATGGTAGTTGCTAGTACTTAACAGATAGAGGAATTGTCAAAGGTAGTGTTCTGCTTATCAAGCAATACAAGAAGATGTGAGTTTTCCAGCAGAGTAGCAGTCTGGATGGGGGTGGCAGTACCATAGGATGAATTCCTCACTTAATCTCAGATTAGTTTTGATTTTTCTCTATTTGTATACAATGGAGATAAATATCCTTGCTTTGTATTTTCTACTTTGAATTATAAGTTTCTGGAGGCATGTCTGTCCTGGGTTCAGCAGTAGCAGTCATTTTTTCTCCTTCTTAGGATTTACGGCCTGGGCTTAAACCATGACAACGTCTTTTACCATGCATTCATGTATTCATCTAGTAAGGTTAGCTGTATTGAAACCTTTTTGTGTAAAGATTAAGAACCACTGAAAATCAAAACCAAGTGAGGCAAGCATGAAAATCATCCAGATCATCATCTGGATGTACAACTAAAATAATTTCTGTTCCTCTGCTTTCAATAGAGAACAACACTGTGGCAGTGTTATTGTGTTGGATGTGTTAGATGGCTAATGAAAACTGCACAGAAATGCAAGTTATCCAAAGGAATGCAAAATTTCAGGAGTTTAATACACTTCACTTGGCAAATGAGTAATTTCGGCCTTGCTGTGCTGAAAGAACAAAATTGTCATATTTGTAATGACACTACAGGAATAAAGGACTAAAAGCGCATGCCAGTTCTGAAGAAATTGAGAGGTAAGAGAGAGGAGATGTAGACTAACACACATCCATGAGTCTAACCCCTAACTGCATGCAACATTTAGAACAAATTTTGACTGCGAGCAGAATTAAAGACATGGGAAAATGTGTCAAGAGTTTACCAAAAGGGTATTATAGCTACCTCTGGTAAGAGGGCAAATCTTACCAGATAATGAAAAAAATACAACTAGTTTATGACTTTAGGACAGCCTTCAGTACTGTGTCCCAAAGGAAATTGATAGTTCTGCTGGAAAATGGATTCTGACTAGACAAAAATGCGATTACAGGGCTGGCTAATGGGGACTGTCAGGCTGCATGCTGCAAAGGGAACTGTCAGGCTGAAAGATAGTTTGTAGTCAGGGTTCTTTTGGACAATACTCATCTTAGTTCCAGTTAGTGCCATTTGGAAAAGACAGAAGCATGCTAGTGACATTTGCTAATGATTAAGGGGAATTATCAGAGGAAGATGGGAAGAAGGGGTTGGTGTAATAGGAATTGAATAGAATGTAGTGGTACACAATGCAGGGTCATGTGCTTACAAAACCTTTTTAGTACATTGGGGACTTCCATTCCACTTGCATTTGCACCTGGGGAGGACAAAGAAAAAGAGGAACCCTATCTTAATAGTCAAAGATTATGAGCCACCAATTTGATATGACCTTGATAATGTGAGCCAGGATATACCAGACATTTACGGTACAGAAAGGAGAGTGTTTATTCCACTGCACAAGACATCTGGAGCAAATTATATAAAGAAAAAATGGGATGATAAAAAGAATTGCGAGCCTGTCCTTAATGACAGGAGATTTTGAGCTTGGCTTGTATTACTTAGCAAAATAAATGTCAAGGGGAGATGACAGTGGGCCCTATAAATACATCAGGAGTGCAAACATCAGAGGGTAAGAGTTATTTTAAGGTGAAAAATAATTTGGCAAAAGAGCAAGTAGGTATAACGTGTCAATAAATAATTTTGGCCTATAAATTAGGCAGTCTGTAATCTTCAGAGAGAGGCTTTCAGAACAAAGAGGAAGAGACTGACAGGTATCTAAATGCGTCTGATGTGATTACCTGCAATAGCAGAAAACTGGTTCCTCTGATCAGAAAACCCCTTCTGGTCCTGCCTTTCTAGGCTGTAGCACAATGGAGTACCTATATGTTAATAATGCAAGTGGCAACAGCAATGAGTTATTAATCAATAGTATTAATCAGGATAACTGGATGTTGCTTGTGACAGGATCAAACCAGGAGGACAGACAAATCACTTCTTTGTAAAATAAAAACCCAAAGGAAAACATCTCCATCCAGGCTTGGTTTTCAGGGAAATTTACCCCTGGTTCCTATTCATTTTGGTAGTAGCAATGTAATTAACCAAGACTAACCTGTTTTGTGGAGTTTCTGTGATGGTGAGATCAGTATCAGGTCCAACATCTGTGAATAGGTCCAGGGACTGAGTTGTCAATATTAAGATTTAAAATTTTTAAACATTTCTTATAAAAACTGAAACATGAATTTTGTCTCCTATAAAGCTTCATGAATGTACAATGTGATTCCTGGATAGAGATCACATCAGCTCCACAGTTATTAGTTTACAGGTTTCTCACTGACCTTAGCTCAGCTCTGGGAATGGTGCCAGCACAATTACAGTAACTCTGAGCAGGGCAAACATAAAGCTCCTCTATCTACCCTGAAGCTGTGCCAGATCTTTCTCTTGCTCAATAATGGGAAGATGCATTTCTTCTTTGTTTGGTTTCAGACAGTTTAGGATAGGTTGGCCATAACAAGATTATTTCCAGCAAAAGAAGGGAAAGAAGTAGACTACTGTGGAGACGGGTACACACATGATACTCCATGGATAGCCTTTGGGAAGTGTATCCCAGGAAGAGGTGTGGAGGAAAACTGAGTCAAGGTGACTTGAGCTAGTTGCCTGGAAGATAAATGTCAGAGGCTGGAATAAAATTCAAGGGGCAGAATCTTGATTCAGTGTTGTTTTCACTGAATCGCATTACCTTCCTGGAGCCCATCAAGGCCCATTGCCTTCCTTCCTGTGAAGATGGGCAGCTGGACTGCAGTGACACCAGGTGGAGCTGAGTGAGCTCATCACCTTGGAAAATGAGGCCCCTGGTGATTATCTCTGATGTTAATTGAGTGTCAAACCCTGCAAGAGGGGAGTCAACACATTTCCTGATCTATGGTCTAAGATAGCGTTTTCCAAACCGCAGGGTAAATTTAATGTTGCTGCAGAGGAAATGCTGATGCAATCCACCAGCAGCTGCTGCTCTCCAAAGTCCTCACAAAGGTACAGTATATATGGGAGGTGTGAGAGGGTAAGTGCATGCAAATAGGGCATTTAAAACCCCAGCCTCTTCTACATGGCAGGCAGGACTCCATGTCTTCCCTCCAAGCCTCCAGTCTTCCTGCCCCCAAAAGAAGCACTGCTAAGGACTGCTCCCAAGAAAACACTGGGTACCATCCTGACAGTAAACCCATGAAAAAGCAGTCTTTTCATGTGGGAAAACCAAGGATGTGATCACATTTCCTATGTGCTCAATTTATGAATCATACATCTAAAGTGTGCAAATGTGGATTCCTCCTAAGTGTGAGTGAGAATGGCAAGAACAATGTTCAAATACATTGTGGTAAGTCTAAAAGATTGGGTAATGCGTGTGTTCAAATAGGCAAATCTAATTTATGAACAGATGAGTCTGGATGATTGAATTAACCTCGTTTAATAGATTACTGCCTCTCAGTGGAGCTGTGAAAACTAACTGCATTGTGCTTTAGTCCCTTGCTTTTTAAAACAGATCATCTTAAGGGAAAGCAAACATGTTTGGTTTAGACAGTGGAAAGTCTATTAATGTGGTCAGTTAAGATGGCTATGCATGGTGACTCATTAAATGGGAGAAGGTTAATCCTGTGCACTAGCCTGTCTATGCCCTGGGTATGCATTTGGCACTGGTGGCTCTATGTGATTTTCTGCTGCCCAAGAAAATTCCCCCCACGAATCAGTAAGTATCCTTTATTAGTATTGAGGTTGAATATTGAAAAAGGAATATGATGATGCCATGGCAATCTCCAGACAGGAAATGGTGAACGGGGAAAGAACAGTGAATTGTCATTCACGGAGCTGGACTAGAGTTGTATTCTTGCACCAAAAGAGCTGTCTGATCGTGACACCAACAGAAGTTGAACCATATCCTAGTCTTTCGACCACTCTAGTCTGCAACTTTAGTCTTTTAAACTGTTTCTCATTTTTAAAAAATGCAAAACCATTTGATGAACTCAGCCCTGTTATACACCACAAGCTGTATTTTCCAGTCCTCAACACACCACAGGAGTGTGGAGTCACCTTTCTGCACAATGGTTAATTATCCGTCAGCGCACAAAGAACGTTTCAGATGCCCTCAACTCCCCTCCTACTGCCACCCCAACACCTTCAGCTGTATGGTCACTTGCCACCCAGACCCTGCTGCCTTTCCCGTCCCGTTCCTGTCCTCACTGCTCTCCCCCCCTGCTCTCCCCACTTGGCTGGTGACATTCCAACTCTTCCCCCTGCAACTATCGCCCTGCGCGTCTTCCAGACAGGGAGGGGGGGGGGTGGGCGGAGCATCGGAGTGGTAGGCGGGGCCTCTGGGACTGTAGGCGGGGCCCCATGGCGATGGGCGGGGCTTGTTTCGGTGGGCGGGGCCGAGTGAGACTACTTGGTAGAGCGCCGCCGCGGCAGTGGTTGCCGGGTGACGGCTGGTCTCGGTGTGCCCCGGCCGCCCGGGCCCGGCCGGCAGGTAAGTGCCGGCCTCCCCCTGCCACGAGAAGTCAGCCCCGTGCAGAGGGGTCGTGCTTTTCGGGGCTGGGGTGGAGAGACAACCTGGAGGTGGCTTTGTGAGTGTGGTAGGGACTGGCTGAGGGGTGGTTTCCCCTTTGTTACCCAGCGCTTGCACACGTAGGTTTAAGGGTCTTTAAGAAAGGCTTTTGTGGTGAGTGACCATGCTGAGTGATGTGTCCCAGGGCTTGAAGGCCCCCAGAGTGTGAACAGATGGAAAGCACCTGAGGGTCTCTGTTTATGGTGTCACTGATAGTGGCAATGAATCTGATAGGTTTAACAGTGTATTTAGATTTTGTGCTTTGGTATAGCTCTGAGGAGGAAAATGCTGATGAATAAATAGTCCCGGGCCATTGCAAGCTGTATCAGCATCCCTGGGTATTTCATGTTGAGAGAATGTGGCCTTTGCATTCTCTGTCTCGGTGTTAACATTGAGAATTGCTGTGCTCCTGTAGGTCTGACTTCTCAAGGGATTGATACGTGGATATGTCTGCCTACGGGCAATTAAATATGTTCGTTTAGTTGTACTCTCCAGCCAACAGAAGAGAGAACAGGCTCATGGCCTGGGATGTTATCACACCTGTTCTTACACAGCTCAAGGGACCTGGTCCTATATAAAAGCAGAATTTGGTTCAATGTGAGTCCAGATGAGAGTTTAGCCCTGAACTGGAGTGATATTATTATTTTGATGATGAAGCATGTGCTTATCTAACTGAAGCTCCTCGGAGAGCTTAAAGAAACAACATTTATTGTCTGAGTTTGAAGTCATATATAATTTAGCGCTGCAAAATAGTAACATTATGTAATATACTACAAATTTGGGATTGCTACATTTCTCACTGGTTTAAATGGTTTAATATCTATTCAGGAGGAATTTTGAAGACATTATTTTTATGTTTTTTTTTAAATCAGAAAATTCATGAACTTTTAACAGAAATAAATTTAGTTACATCTGCATAATTTTTATTTGCTAGATTCATATGTTGGCTTGAAAAACAATTGAGAGCAAAACCTAGGGCTACAAGTACTTGCTATAATAAGTAGTATAGTACTTGCTGTAATAAGTACTTGCTATTATACAAATCAGAAGACCAGATTTGCCATGCCATCTATAATAAAGGCCAATATAGCTGTATTTAAAAGAAAAGACTGTGGACCCTGGCCAGTTCAAAGGAACATTATCTGATATTTAAAAAGAAAAAAGTATTTCAGCAGACACTAATTTCTTTGATTGTAGTGTCTCACATCAGGAAGCAGTATTTGAAGTATAGAGTAATGCTGGCTGTTTATCTTACATTTTTTGCATCTCAAGTTTATATTTTTCCGAGTTACTAGCATAGGTAGTGCTTGGGTATATTTTTGTTTGATTTTAACAGAGCACTCACCCAAGTTCAAAGTGATGAATGTGGAAGAAACAAACATATATAGAATGGAGAGTTACACATAAATTATTGCTGTTTGGGAAAGAGCATTAAGCTACCATGGTAGTTCTCTGAAAATATTATCTTGCAGCAAGCCAAAAGACAAAGAGCATTAAAATTTTGAAGAAGAGGAATTGAAAACACTGACAATTCATGTACTGTTTCTCTGGCCATTATCTTGAATCTTGTGTTCAGTTTTGACCATCCTGGAGGGTAAATGGCAGGTCTGAAATAGTTTCTGTGAAATACAACAAGATAGGAAATGGACAAAATATATGAGACTTTTCAGCTAGGAGAGGAGATGAAAAAGGTGGTGGTGCAAAAGAAAGCTATGAATTAATGGATAGCATGGACATATGGATGAATCCTCCATAATTCTACCTGACTCCTTTTGACTTCATTTATAATTTTAGCCTCCACAGCAACCTATGCCAGTGTCTTCCACGATTTAAACAAATATAAAAATGCACTTTCCTCTTTTTAGAAACTGATTTCCAACAAAATTCCTGATGTTTCTTTAGTCAGTGGATGACTATTTGTGATGTCTTGAGGCATGACAAATAATTGCTTCCCTACATTATCTCCCCAGCTGTCGAGCACAACACACCTTTTGGTTTGGGAAGTTACTGAGTAGCTGATTGCTAGAAATTTAAACAGTGTGTCAGGGGAAGTGTCACTTTGGGCTACTTCTGACCCTATTTTTTAAGCATCTGTTTCTGATCGCAGTAGCTAGCTGGACATCTGCCTTGACCTAGGAGGACAGTTATAATTCAACCTCATTGGCAGCCTATCTTGAATTTGCAAAGTTATTTTCTTCCCTTGCTAAAGTTTTGGGAGTATTTGTGCCATCTTCCACGGTTTAGTATTTTCCTATGAGTTCAGCTAGAATTAATCTCTTTTTGTACAATGTCTCCCATGTGAGCAATACATTGGAAATCGGAAACATCCCAGTGTTGAAAATGGCTTTTCAAATGGATTTGTAGGCCATGGAATCTCCTGCTTCAATCAGATAATTACCTAATAAAATGGATTGAAAATTGTTTGGGAACAACAGAGCACTTTGAAACTCAAAAATGCCACATATGATGCATTTTCATCCTGTGCGGAAGTTTGGATTTCAAAGGGCTCATAAAAGCAATTCAACCAGTAGCTGGGTTTCACTGTCCTTTTCTTAGCTGGAATCTGGCAATACTTCTAAATGGTGGGTGCTAAAAATGCTTTGAAGACCAAAACCATGGTTTTAATATTCTGCAGCTTTGTACTGTCACTTAGCTCTGAGTCCATGGGTTAGAGTGGCCTGTGAATGAGCAGCCGGCACTATTGGAAGCTTGATATGAGAGTGTGCTCACCTGTGCAGGGAGATAGTCAGCTCTCTGTCTCTCAGAAAACTTTGCTGCACTGTCATATTATCCTAATGAATGGGGAGAGCCTGCAAGATCTTTGGGCATGTGGGAGACATGGGGGAAGGTGCTGGAGAGAGACCAGTATACAGGCAATTTATCCAGCTTCTTTATGGGAGAGTGTAAACTGATGTGAAAGCCTCTTGCCACTGGTAAAGAGAGCAAGGCCAGGTTAGAAGCAGTATTTGTGCAGGGTGAGCAGAGTTTACCTGTGACAAGAAAGGATAATTAGTGTAACACTAAAGCAAAACCAAGTTTGCAGTGAGAGAGAGAGCTTCTTTTTTTATTTGGCCCATCTTTGCAAGAATTGACCCTGCCTTGTGTATAGTATTTTTTAAAGTGTGTGAAGTCTTGAGTCTGTGTGGGACATATTAACTTATTCTTTGGCTCTCGTTGCTTACAGAAGATTAATCTCAAACATTTTGTACCGTGTGGCCATGAGTGGAATATGATACAATCTATGCAAATCAGTTGAAAAATTAGTTTATTCATTTCCAAAAGCTTTGTTCAATAAGATACCTTTACAGTGATACCA